GCAAGTCAGATAACAAGCCTGCTCTCGATAAGAAGCCTGCCCATGATAATAAGCCTGCTCAGCAGATTGCTTGGGGAACAATTCTAATCCAATGGTTCCTCTGAACCGTCAAGCCACAGAGTGCAGGCTTCACAGAAACCAGAGCTTAAACAACCAGATACAATGACCAAAGTTTCAACAGCCAGAGACAGAAAGCAGAACTTGAAAGACTTGCCTAGGCAACAAAAACAGACGTGGTGCCACATGACTCAGCGAAAGAGGCTGTCCTGGTGGATTTTGGGGATCCCGGACAAGCCCCCAAATGTTGTACCCAAATTCTGAACCCCAAAATCACCAAAATCACCAAGAGGCCCACTTCAATGCAAAATCAAAGAGTCTTTTATTGTAGATGTTTAACGAGCTAACCCCATTAGCTCGGGCCCTTCACCCTGCCACCATGGCAAATGGCTGGAGAAAGACACCAAGCAACCTCGAGGCAGGGACCTTAAAGGGCAGCATAAGGGGAGTGTCTAGGGGTATGAAACAGTCTCAGGATTGGTGCACTTACAGGTTTGGGTGGCCTGCCCTGTGTTGATTGGCCAACTGGTTGCTATGGCCCATAGACTCTCCCAGGGCGGTTGCTATGCTCTGCATGTCACTGTTGTGCACTGTCTGTAAAGCACACCCAGAGCCATAAAGCACAGCCCTGCCAGCTAACCTTAGTGACCAGGACAGGAGCAGCAAGGTCATGCAAGCATATGTTAGCCTGTAATGGCTGCTAAAATGGTGTGAGGTAGAATGCACGTATGATTGTTTGAGCATGCCGCATTGTGTGTGTGTGTGTGTGTGTGTGTGTGTGTGTGTGTGTGTGTGTGTGTGTGCATGTAGAAGCCCTGGGAGACCAGAAGGCATTAGCTCCCCTGGAACTGCAGACACCGATGGTCATGAGCTGCCATGTGGGTTCTGGGAACTAAACATGAGTCCTCTGTAAGAACAGTCAGTGCCCTTAACTAGGCCTTCTTTCTGTTGGGCCTAAGAAAGGCTTGGATGCGAGGCCCAGTGTAATCTGAACCTGACTTGAGTTTAGGGCTTGGATGTGAGGCCCAGTGTGACCTCCTGAGCCTAGCTAGAGTTTGGCGACCTGTCTCTGACCTGTAACCTCCACATGGGGGTGACTCATCCAGACCTAATTCAAGATTGCCCCTGCCTAGCTGCCTGACTGCTTGGTGGAATACTATGGGCCCTTAACTCCTCAAGTCACCTTACCCTATCCTAAGATTCCCATGCCCTACCTCAACCCTATATGAGTTCCTTCCTGTTGGACTAAATCGAGATCCTGCTTCAACAGACTCCCGACTCAGTGTGTGTTTTTTCCCAGTAACTAGTAGGGAGGGAAGGTCTGAGTCATCAACACTCACCATGCCGCTCAGCCCTCCTCCCCCAAAGAGACTGGCTGGACGGGCCCTTCCCCCACTCTACCTGCAGGAAGGACCCTGCATCTTTCTCCAGTTCCATTATTAGTCCCATGCCAGGCATTTTTTCTAGGTCTTTATTCTAGAGGTTGGGAGAAGACAAAAAAATGTGCTATTTACATCAGGGTAAATAATTCTCAGCCAAATAGAGTAAGGGGCTCCATTCTGATGGGAGTGCCCAGGCCGTGCCACCACAGCAGAGAACTATGTGGAAAGAAAATAGAGGAACGAAGGAACAAGAAGGCATCATGACCAGAGATGGAGAGGTAAGAACAGCAAGAATCAGTGAGAGAGGAGAGGGCCTTGCTGGGCACGGGAGAGGGCCTGGGCATTTTCAATGGAGGCTTTAAGAAAAGGCGTTCATATTCTGGCTTCTCTTTTAAGCCTTGGTTCTTGCTATTTTTTTAGTGAATTGCCGGAAAAATTGGGAGGAGACAAAAGCAGAAGCAGAAGTTTGAACACTACAGATGTATTTCTGCTTATAACTCTACAATGGAACTTGACGATTAGTGGAGTTCTGTTAGTCATGCGTATCGCAAAGATGGTATAAGATTATTCTTATATTATTGTTTTATATATATGTATATATATGTACTATTCACTTATACTATTTAGTATATATTCATATGTGTGCGTATACACACATTAGTGTCTTACATGGGAAAGGTTTCAAGTAAAATGACTAAAATTGGTGAGTTCTCTGGCTTTCAACGTTTGTGGTTATAGTCTTAGGAAAACATTCTCTTCAGTCCCCATTATCTTTGAAAAGAGACAGTTTTGAAAATAGGCCCGGTGACCAACAACTTTAGACACTTGGTATGCGCTAGTTATGGTATATGTTGGTCATGGTATGTGCTAGTCACTAGGACATACCAAACATAGATTTCCAAACTGTGAAAGCATAGGTTTGTTTTTTTGTTTGTTTTGCTTTTCTTAAACACAAGAGTTCATTTGAACAAACCTTTTATTCTATATGCATATTATGAAAAATAAACAATTAGCTGGTCCTGGTGCCACAGGCCTGTAATACTAGCTATGCAGCAGGAGGATCACAGGTTCTAGGCCAGCCTGGGAAAATTAGTAAGACCACCCCCCATCTCAAAATGAAAGGTAAATAGGAGGGCTGAGGCAGAGCTCAGTGGTATACTACTTCCCTAGTGCTCACGGGGCCCTGGGTTCCACCTCCTGAACCAAAAAAGAAAGAAAAAAAATACAATAATAATTTAGTTAGGAGGATCATGTAAAACTCACAAGCCTAACCATCTTGTAGGATAGACTGAATTGGTAATTTTAGGTGCATTTTTCTAACTTATCAATGCAGAATTAGTGTTACAATATTTTATGTCATGGTTCTATATTTAGTATGCTGACGCTGTGGTGACCATAGGAAGTGTCTCAGGAGACACACACAAGACTAGTTGAGGAAAGTTAAAGGCAACACAGGATATCAACGGCTTATATTCTTTTATAGTGCACAGGATGATGACAGGTTTTCACTATACAACACTAACACGGCTCTGGGGCAGATGCTTCTAAGGCTAACCCTGAGCGTTGCAGACTATTTAGCGGCTTCACTGAACTCAGCCAGCCAGAAGCCAGTTCACCTCAGTGTCCCTGAACATTGCCATAAGGCAAGCAGGAGAGGCCTGCCAAACTAACCCCCTTCGGGGACATCCACTGTAGAGCAGTAGGTATCTGTCCACTTAAAAATTAAGCTTTCTTTTGAGATGTTAAAAATGAAAACACCTACCTTGATTCTTCTTCACTTTCTAGAAACAAACTAACAACAAAACAAAACAACAACAAACTACTCTCCACCCTCTGCAGGAATGACTTCCTCTCATTATCTTAAGGCCATTTTTAATCTGAACTAAATATATTTATGCTAATCACTCTAGCCCCAAGGTTGCTGTTCCTCACCCTTGGAACAAAGGAAAGTAGGTAACTATTCAAGAGAAAAATGTTCCAAGTGGCTTCAGTTCACACTCTCCCCTCTGTGTCTGGGTAGGGCTTTTCCCTTGTCCCGTATCTCATGCTGATGAAGAAGCCACCTGCTTCACAGACATTTATTTATTCTCCGGCTCTGACGAGGTAGAAGGCAACAGAGAGGTGGGATTCAGGCTTATTAAAATGCATACATACAGATTTCACTCTGATTACACAGGATTGATTTCAGCCCCCCTGCAGATACTAAGATCTGTTAGTACTCAGGTCCCTTATGTAAATAAAATGCCGGTGATTTGGCATATAAACAACATTTTCAAGTTTTAGAATCAGCTCTACATTGCCTTGTGCAGGTGGAACGTAGCTAATCTGAAAATCTAAACTCTATTGAAACTTGGAGCTTTGCTGACATGATGCCACCTGATCCTTCCCATACCCAACTGCACACGGGGAACTGTTCATGTTGCAAAATTACTTTACAAACCTGTGGGAAATCACCTTTGGGTTCTGAGTGTAAGGTATTTGTGAACATGACTGAACATCACGTGTAAGGGCTGAATCTGCACTGTGTTGCCTAGACTGAATCTCACCTCTATGATGTCTCATTTTATATGGGAAAACATTCCTGTATTTCTTACAGGTTTCAGGCCTGAAGGATTTAGGTAAGGGACACCCTGTAAAGTCTAACATGGTGCAGATGGTAGCTAATATTATATTTTTCGGGGGACGACAAGAGGGGTCTGTATTTGTTCAGTAATATGCTGTTTTATCTCTCCTTGTTTGTTTGTTTAAGCAGGGTCTCTGTCAGTCCTGGCTATCCTGGAATCCACTAGCTAGACCTGGCTGGCCTCAAAAGATCCTGCTCCCTGTGCCTCCCCAGTGTTGGGGTTACGGGCTGGTGCCACCACACCTGGCCAGTTTTCTCTAACGTTTTCAGCCCACAGTTGGTAGAATCATGGATGAAGGAGGATCCCCAAAACAACTTATCTCACCTCTTTCCATCCAAACAGCAGAGAGGCATAGGACTATTTTTGTATACTTCCGATGAGCAGAATGCAACAGTAGCGCCGGACAGCCTGACGGTTTGCTGGGAGACAGACCACCTGCCATGGTGGGTCTCACAAAGCTCTTTCATGTGGTGTTCAGGTGAGGAGTGCCACCACCAAACAGGTTTCTAAGCGTTAGAGAAACCTAGACACAGTAACAAAAGAAGCATCTCGCCTCAAAAGCCTTCAGGAAAAACCCTGAGCCCAGGCTTGAAGAATGGATTTGGCCCTCACTGTCAGCAGCCACCAGAAGCTTCTTCACCGCCTCAGTTTCCCAGCCGAGTTCAGCTGCAGTACAAAACAGAGCGATTCCAAAATCCTGACTTAAAGGCAATCGCCATCAGAGCTCAGATTTGGCACCGGTCAGATATTGTTTTCGCGGGGCGAGCGCGCGCATCTGCAGGACGCCAGGCGGCTGGCCCAGGCCTGGCCATGGCAGCACACCCTCTGCCCATGCGTAGTAGAGGCAGGCGGCCTGAGGCGTGAGTGGCGGGCCTGGGGTGTCCACGTCACTCTGGCCAGCGCTCCCACAGCCCCGGGCGCTCCCTGCGCCTCGCTCCGCCCCTCGCAGCAGCGCAGCGCGGGCCCGCCAAGAAGCTGCGGAGCACTGGGCGCCATGGCCGACCCGATGAGCCGTGAGAAGCTAGGCCGGAGGCCGGGGCAGGTAGGAGCCGTCGGGAGGCGGCTGTGAGCATCACCCCAGCCCGTCCCCGCAGGCCCGGCCGCCCCGGAGCACACCCAGGAGGCTCCATCGAGGGTCTGTGGAGCCTGGAGCCGTGCTCGGTGCTGGTGCCGGGGCTGCTACTTCGGGCAAGAAGGCCACCGGGCCGAGCTTCGAACCCCTGACCTCCCCGAAGCCCGGAGTGGAACCCGGGGCGGGTCTTGGCATTGGGAGACCCTGCTTGACCTTCCCTACGGGAAAGGTTTGGGCTGCAGGGGCGCGCGTTTGCTTCCGGAGCACCCTGTCCTTGCATTGTTCGCCTTTCGAAGATGGCGACCCGAGGTGGCCTTGATCGACGGGGGCTGCTTGCTGGTCATTCAGCAGCAGCACCCGAACTCTGCAGATAGAGGCTCCAGAAGCTCACCCTGACCAGACTCTTGGTGACCCACAGGGTGACTGTTCTAGATTTAAAAAAAAAAAGGAAAAGAAAAGAAAAAATGGAAGTGAAACCCAGGCCCGGTGACTTACGCCCACGGTGCGTGCACTTGCAAGCCGAGGCAGGAGGATTGCTATGAATTCACAGCCTGTCCTGGGCTCTAGTGTGAGACCTTGTCTATGAGACGAAACAAAACAAAAGCAGGGAAGCCTGGCTAGGAAGCATAGAGGAGCGTTTCGCCCCAGAAAGCGGAGCCAGCCTTGTCTGTTGTTCAGAACTTTCTGGATAAATACGAGGGTCAACTTATACCTAGATGCGTTTTGTTAAAGCCCGTAGCAGGCTTTGACTACTTAATCTTTTGACCCCCTTAGGGACAAGCTTCTGGATACAGAGTCATTTCTGTAGGGTGCTTAACGGGGTTTTGGTAATTCTGGGCGAGGTGTTTGTGCGCGCACGAAAGTGCTAAGGAAAAGGACTCACTTCAGTGACTCGGGATTAAGCAAAGCCGCACAAAGATGAGATTCTGAATAAAAATGCCTGATTATCTAGAACACAAATAATTGTAGATTCCAACCCCGGAGAGTGTGGAGCCCCCCTTGCCAGCGCCGCAGCTAGTTCAGTCTCCAGAGAGAGCTAAATCACTCGGTGTCTGGGGGAAACCGAAGTCCAGTGATCGCCCTCTGAGAGCTCAGGCCCAGGCAGCCATGGCTGGTTGTCGGTGCTGCTCCCCGTGATAAGAGTGACATAAATAACGACTCACTAAAATGTAGGAGTGATTTGTGCTAAGCACTTCAGCACCTGCTGTTACTAATTAAGGGTTTAGACTGCCACCGACTGCAGATGGAAACCTAGGGCTTTTAAATTGTAGGACTGCCGTGCCCTGAATGCCCTGAATGCTGGCGCCAGAAACGAGACAGAGTAGATAAGGGCGTTGGTGATGGTGCCCGTTATGAAACTGCCCATAATTAAAGGACAAGGGGCAGGGGTGTTAGCAGCCCAAGAGAGCACGGGATTTCATTTTCACTCCAGTTTTTAAAAGTTCCCAATGAATATGTATTGGCTATAAAAAAAAAAAAGATGCACTAAGCAATTCATACAGGAAAAAAAGATACCGTCAAATGAAATCTAGCCAATTGTGTTCCTAGGTGGAAATTATAGATGTGTTCAAAGGCAATTTTGCAAAGGAGAATGTGCTAGAACTTTCCATTTCTCTTCTTTCATTGTTGGCAAACCTTCCTATAGCCTGTGCTCAGATGTTACACCACCAACAATTTGTGCTAATTATACTTCATCTGCTAAATTTACACTTCTGGAGAGTGGTCTTGAGTGGCCTTCTAAGTGTTCCAATCCCTGCGGCTGTCACCCCGAGTAGGTTGTGGCTCTGATTTGGTAGGTCAGGGACAGAGGCTAGAGCACTAGTCACCTCTTTCCGGAACTGCTTTGTTTTGTACTGTGAGCCTCTCAGCATTTGAGAATCCCAGGCTCCCTCGCAGGGCATGGCTTCCCGTGCTGCTGCCTCCCTACCCCATCTTAATTACCTCCTCAGACTCCTCCCATGCGCTTGTCTCTTACGGCTCTGGGATAGATTCTGGGGACGCTGGGAGGGGAGCCTGGGAGGAAATTCGTGCAATTAGAACATCAGGTGCCACCTAGAACAAGGCTCAAATGCATAGCTGCTTTTGTTCTGAGTCTGTGACTCACACAGCTGGGAGAACTTTCCACTGCCCAGTCTGAATGCACATCCCTGTAAAGCCTTTCCATCCCCTCAGCTTGAAATGACAGTGTGTGCGTGCGTGCGTGCGTGCGTGCGTGTGTGTGTGTGTGTGTGTCTGTGTATGTGTGTGTGTATGTGTGTGTGTCTGTGTGTGTATGTGTGTGTATGTGTGTGTGTATGTGTGTGTGTGTCTGTGTATGTGTGTGTATGTGTGTGTGTATGTGTGTGTATGTGTGTGTGTGCGTGCATGTGTGCGTGTGTGTCTGTGTATGTGTGTCTGTGTATGTGTGTGTGCGTGTGTATGTGTGTGTATGTGTGTATGTGTGTGTGTATATGTGTGTATGTGTGTGTGTATATGTGTGTATGTGTGTGTATATGTGTGTATGTGTGTGTGCGTGCATGTGTGCGTGTGTGTGTGTATGTGTATGTGTGTGTATGTGTGTGTGTGTGTGTGTGTGTGTGTTTAAGAAAATACAGAGGTCTCTACCATGCAAAGAGCCCATGCACAGTGAGCTTACCCTTCACAGGCAGGTTGTGACTCTTGCTTTAGAGCCAGGGGTAGTGCCTGGAACCAAGAGGCAGGTGATGGTTCCCGCCCTGACGCCCTTGCTCCCCTGGCCCCACAGCAGATGTTGGGAATGGGCTGGTAACCAAGGCTCACACGCTGCTCTGCATTCCAAGGATTGTGAGCCCTGCTGTCTGTGCCACACAGAAGGCACGGAAGGCCTGTGCTGCGGTGCTTGGCTGCCCCTCCCCGTGTTGCTGGCACTGCCTCTGCCCAGTAGGAGGGCTCAGTGAGTATCAAATGTGAGCAGGAGCACAGAGTGGCAAGGCGTCTGAGAAGACTAAGAGAGAAGAAGTTTCTAACAGAAAATTTTACAAGTTCGCCGCAGTCCCAGCCCCCTGGCTTATACCTATTTTTAGTGTCATCATTCATACCACATTGTTTTATTCTCAAATGGCTCAGTGAGAGAAAAAATTACTATATAAAGGTAAAAGAAAAATTAGTGGACTGGAGAGGTAGGTGGCTTAGTCGGGAAAGGGCTTGTAGCTGAAGCAGGAGGATTCAAGTTTGGCACCCAGTACCCATATACAAGTCAGAAGCAGCAGCAGCAGCAGCAGCAGCATCTGTAACCCAGGGCTTGGGGGCGGTGGCTGAGACAGTGAGAGCCAGTCTAGCCAAATGCCTGAACCCACATTCAGTGAGAAACTTTGCTCCAAAACGTAAGATGGAAAGTAACTGAGGAAGACACTTGACGCCTACCCACCACGTGCACAGACACACACACACACACACACACACACACGTCTTATACACACACATACCACATACACCCAACACACATACATTCACACACATACCACACCACATAAGCTCATACCACATATACACATCATATACACACTACATGCATACCACATAAACAGATATCACATACATACCACATTACACACACACACACACACACACACACGCATACAAGCACACACTCCACAGAAACAATTATATAATCATTTTATGGTTACCCTATCTGTACCAGGTAGATTATATTAGCATATTGGCAGTTGCTTCTGCTAAATACAGTATTAAAAAAAACCCCTATAACCCTCTTAGAGTAAGTTCTGGTAAGCACATATCACTGTTACAACAGTATGCATCTGTGGGGAGGGGCTCTCAGGAAGGTGCTGGAATAGAAGCAGTCATGTGATACTATAGTTGGACAGCAAACCCTAATGAGCTGCACCTGAAATTCTACTGACCTGTGGTGTGGTTTTCAAAGCAAGTGAAAGATCCCAAGGGCCTCCAGATTCTCCCTCAGTCTCTGTAGTTTCCAGGCGCCGAGACAGGAGGATTGAGTACTTGAAGCCAGCCTAGGGAACATTCCAAGGTTGTGTCTCAAATAATTAATGACATAATTATTTTTAAAAGAAAAAGCCATGGTATGTTTTGAAAATATTAGGGTTTTCGAAGAAAACAGAAGCAAGTTTGGCGAAGTAGGCTGATGTCAGTCCGCAACAAACAACAAAAACAACATACTGCTGAGTGGACACTTTTCTCCTTTCTGATGTTGGTGGGGCAGGTGAGTCAGACAGGCTCCTGCTGGTGTGTTGAACATCCCCCCTTCCTCCCCTTCCACAGCAGGAGGCCCTTTTGAAGCAATGAAGCCTCCAGCGAGTAAATGTCACTGCAAAAGAAGGGGGAGGGGCGGTCCTACATTAAAACCCAAGGAGACCCACCCGGCAGACACCATGCACAGTTCCAGGTGAACGCTTGGTGCCAACACAGCAGTTTCTCTGAGAAACGAAAATCCACGGTCAGACGTGAAATCCAGCCCGTGCCAGGACCAAATGCTCACCACAGAGCAAAGCTTTGCAGACGGGAGGGGAGAGATGCTGGGGTGGAGCCGCCGACTGACAGGGCCAAAGGTTCACACGTGTGCCAGGGGTGGGCACCTGGTGTGGAAGCAGCTGTGTGCAGAGAGCCTGCCTGAGCTCGTTCATCTGACCAGAGTAGAGGGGGATTTTGCCCCCAGGATCCGCCTGTGAACTGCTCTCCAGAGAAAGCTGCACACAGGACAGAGTGTGGGTACCTCCAGTCCTCTGTGTGGCCAGGAACCGGCACAGCCCCAGCCTCTCTGCTCTCTGGTCTGGTGTTAAGTTTCCTGCTCCCTAACACTGGACCCAAACCAGTTTCCATTAAAGGGAGCCACCACTGGGGACATTTGCAGCCCCTCAGCCTTGGTTCCTAGGTTTCTCTAGGGGAAGACTCCCGGATGTAGGTGTGCACACATTGTGACTCTGCTTTATTAAGAGTGCTGGTGTCTGCTCCGAAGTCACTTCCTGAGGTCCTCACTACAAGGTGTTCACGTTAGGAGGTGGAGCTGTTCCAAGGTGATTGGGGTCACAAGGATACTTCTGCCATCAAGAATAAGATTAGTGTTCCCGCAAAAGAGGCCCAAAGTGGACCCATCAGCCCTTGCACCACATAAAAGCACACTGAGATGTTGTCTTCTGTGAACCAGAAACCATGCCTTCCCTCGACACCGGATCTGTCAACGCCTTGATCTTGAACTTTTCCAATCTCCAGAGCAACAAGGAAATTAGTTTTGTTCATAATCAACCTTGTTAGGGTTCTTCTAAAAGAGAAAACTGGAGGCTGTTTGGAAAAAGAGAATAGAAACAAATGCTTGAATTCTAGTTTGTGAGGCTGGGCTTGGTAAAGTGGTTTATGTGTAAGCATTAAGACCCAGTATCTGTGTAAAGGCCAGGCACAGTGTTTCAACCTTGTACCCCCCCCCACACTCCCCTGCATTGGGAAGACACACAGGGAGCCCCTGGAACTCATTGGTCAGCCAGTTTAGGCAAATCTTTGAGCTCCAGCTTCAGTGAGAGACTCTGCCTTAAAAAATAAGATGAAGAAATCCCATGCAGACTTCTACCCACAGGCATACACATGTGCAATCAGGAGTGAACACACAGCAGGCATGGCTGCATTTTCATGTCATTCTAGCTCTGGGGAAGTGGAGATTCCTGGCCAGCCAGACTGTCATACTTGGGAAACTCCAAGCCTATACCCAAGAGACCTAGTCCCAACAAACAAAGCAGACACCGCTGCGAAGATGACACTCAAGGTTGTCCTGTACCTTCACACTCAGATGCACACACAGAGACACAAGTTAAATTTAAATGCGTACCTTCAGAGAAGTTACATTCCAAACATACCAGGTTATGAAAGCATCAAAAATAGAAAACCTTAAACATCCACAATTCACTTCAAATTCAGTACTTCGTAAAAGACTGAAGGCTGCACATTCAATCCAATCTGCTACAAAGAAATGGAGAGAAAGAATCTTCTGCTAACTTTCCCCAGAAGATTCCCACAGGGAGAAAGAAAATAGAGGAAGAAGTCATCCACGACGGAAGAAATACCATCAGTTTCCAGAACCAATAATAAGTGCTCGTACTCAGATAGCATCAGGGCACAGGAAGATAAGAAAGGACGTAAGATCACCCAAAGAAAGCAAAGTTGCTTGGTGCTTTCAGCGGCCATTCTGAAGATCACAAGGTGATGGGTCATCCTCTTCCAGATTCAGGGACTAGCACTGACTTGTAAGACCTCCGTGACAGCATGTTCGCACTAGAAGAATCTCCTGAACCTGTAACTGAAATTCGATAAAGTGGATCCCAGGAAAAAGCAAGTAGGAGCTACAAGGAACAGTATGGATCAAAGAAACGACAACATAAGTCATTGTGTGCAAATATTAATTGTAAATACAAGAGACAGAATCAAGTCTTAAATTCCAGGCATTCCCAGCAGAAGTGCGTGGAGGATTGGGGAGAGGGAGACAGTAGCATGAAGGGTGCTGCCTTGTGTGGAGAGAGGCAAGGGTTCAACGCTCAACCCGTGGTTTACATGTGGCCAAGGACTGCTGGGAATGAGGTCCAGAACACAAACATAAACTCACTTAAAATATGAGATGCTTTTGTACGCTTTGCCTGCATGTATGTATGTATGTGCATCGTGTGTGTGCCCGGTGCCTGTGATGGCCAGAAGAGGGCACCAGGTCCTCTGGAGCTGTCGCTAGCAGTAGCTGCGAGTCATCACGTGGGTGCAGGGAACAAATCTGGGTCCTCTGCAAGAGCAGCCAGGGTTCCTAAAACTCCTGGGCCATCTCTCTAGCACCAAATTCAGGTTTGTAAAAGTCTGTCCTCCCAAAAAGTGGTTTCAGCAAAATAAACAGTGGCAGGACCCACCAATTCGGCTTTCTCACAAAATACCTTTTCCAACAGAAAAGCCCAGTTGAGAAACTGGATCATAACCTTACCTGTTAATGGAACAAGAGAGAGGTTTGCAGGGAAACCACTCCAGAGGCCTTAGTGGGCAGGATCTTAACAAAGTAGCAAGATGCTGGACCCCAGCACAGCCCTGGGCAGGAGGCAATGAGGAGGAGCTTTCTTTCGCGGCCTGGAGTGCTGTCCGCTCCTTGGGTTACTTCTCATTCATGTTCGTTTGGTAGTGAACACACATGGCCACTGATTCCTTTCTTCTCTTTCAGAGAAAACTAGACCTTTTGCTAATTGGAGACGCCACAAGATACTTCCTGTCTAGCTCTGTACAGAAACTCCTTTCCAGCACGGCGCATGTCACCCTGACCATTTGCGATGTGAAGAAGGTAGCTGTCTTTTTGGCTGCAAAGACATTCGACATAATTTTCCTGAAGGTGACTTCCACCTTAACTGCAGAGGACCTGGAGGCCGCCAAGTTAATTAGGTAAAACTTCTCAAATCTTGACTCTACATCTTTAAGATTGCCTTTAAAACCCATTTTCTTAAATCCATAAGATACAGTATTATTGATGTACTTGACATAAAATTTGTTCGCTTTTCAAGTTTTTTTAATAACTGCCATTGAAATGGCGCCTCTTTTCAGGAACTATTAAGAGTTATGGTGGGCATGAAAGCAAGCACCCTGAGTTCTGTGTGGAGCTGGCAATGGCCTGAGTCTATTTCTGGGGTGTGATAGGCTCTTGGGATCTGACGTGAGTCCAGACCCTACCATCTCGGGAAGCCCCAGTGGCCATGGAGGACTGCTGCTTACTGGCTTGCTCCCAGTGACTTGTTCTGCTGCTTTTTGGTTCTACCTAGGACCACCTGCCCAGGGGTGGCACCAACCTCGGTGGGCTGGGCCCTCCCACATCAGCCATTAATCAAGAAAATGCCCCACAGGCTTGCCCTCAGACCAGTCTAATGGGGGCATTTTCTCAGTTGAGGCCCCCTCTTCCTGCGTGACCCACGCTTGCGAGCTGAGAGAGTCAGCTACCGCTCAGCTGGCACTCTGTGCACGCTGGTGGTTAACTACGTCACAGCACTTTTTAGTTTGAAAATTCTCACGCATGTGAAAGTAGAGGAACAGGCCAGTGAATCCCCAAGTCCTCGGTGCAGCTTTGGCTGTTCTTGGTGTGACATCTCCCCTCTTCCAGAAAGCTCCTCTGCAGGCGGCTTTACAGCAAATCTGACGTTGTGCAGTTCATCCACCCATGTTCTAGTAAATACTTGGCTAAGACTGGACTCAACAGAAGCCCCAGCTCCGATGACACATCAATACATTAATAATTCTGTAATGTTGAGATATCAAACCAGCCTTCAGTGTTTCCTGCTTATGATTCTAAAATCTTCTGTTAACCAAAATTCAAATCTCAACTTTATCTTCCTTGTATTGTTTTTTTTGTCTTAAATTATACATATATATTTTTTTTCAAACGCACACACACACACGTATGTGTTTGAAAGAGTTTTTAGTTTTATGTAACTTTCTCCACTCTGGATTTTGCTGATTTAATTATTTTTAAAATTTATTTAGTTTTATTTTATGTGCATTAGTGCTTTGCCCTGGGTGTCGGATCCCCTGGAACTGGAGTTACAGACAGTTGTGAGCTGTCATGTGGTGCTGGGAGTTGAACCCCTGGTCCTCTGGAAGAGCAGTCGATGCTCTTAACCACTGACTCATCTTTTCAGCCCCTGATTTTATTCTTATCGTGGTCTTGAAATGTCCTATTTTCCTCAACCTTTTCTAAACTAATGAGAAATTTGAGAACATAGATAAGGTTCAAGTTGTTTTCTTTAATTAAGAAAGAACAGCCCATTACATCACTCCTCACTGACCTGAGATGCTGAATTTGAAACTTTTTCCCATCAGCTTGAATTCATCTGTAGCTTTGTTTCTAGTAAGTTAAACCCTTGAATCTGGTTTTCTTTGAATGATGATTTTGTTTCTTTGTAACACTTTTCCCTCAGATCTCGAAAGAAGAAAAACACATGTTTGCTGTTTGTGTTTGTAATACCTGAAAATTTTAAAGGTATGTATGTGATTTCCTCACGTACTATGTTCGTTTTCAGTCAGGAATTACAAGGTTGGTGCTAACATGATTCTTTAGACTGTATTTCAGAATATGGAGTGGATATAAGTTTTACTGAGCCACTGACCTTGGAAAAATTGAACACAGTGGTAAACTACTGGAGAGCATTCTTCACAGATATGGGTGAGTTAAAAATATATTTGTTAAACTCTACAAAAACCCGTGTTTGCACATCTTTAAATTAGTTTCCCACTTCAGCCTTTTATTTGTGAGTTAACAATTTGCTATGTATTTTATGAGTGTGTTTTTAATCATAGTCAGGAAATAAATGTAAATAAGGAGAAAAGAATCTTTCTTTTTCTGTAAGAGAAGCTAAAATGTTCAGAAATTTCAAATGAATTGCATGCTAGCTGTGTGATGGTGGCTTCTTTTTTTGTTTGTTTGAATAGTTACTAAGTTTCTTTTCATTTGGCAACCTGGCTGCTATCATAGCTTGGTTATTAAAATATAATTGATTAGGTTACTTCATTACTGCCATGTTCAAAAAGCAGGTGCATTAACCTGGGATAGCACAGTAACCCCTTCCTTGGAAAACACTTGTGTAATTATTTGCCTCCCGAAATGAATAAGAATCTTTCTTTCTCTTGCATAGGTTTAGATACAAAGCATTACTGTCAGTGCCCCAGTTAGACCTCTCCTTTGTAATCCCTTACCGATTGTGTTGAGTATATTCCAATACTTGAGCACTAATTAAATTAGCTGATCCTACAAGGATAGCTGACAGCCTCCAAGTCCTGGAGTTAATGCGGCTCACTAACTATTTTTGCTTGCTGTGGGCTGAGAAATCGTTGGGAATGAAGTTGACATTAGAGGGAGAGCCTAGGTGAGGCTTGCTGCATCATATGAGTGAACTCTGAAGACCTAAGGTGCAGTTTGATGGCTGCATTGAAGACACTGTGTGGAATGCTTGAAACTTGCTGAGAGTCTCCATTTCAAACGTTTGCAGCACACGCACAAGGAAATAATTATGTAAGCTGGCGTGAGGATTGCACTAACTTGATTGTGCTATGTTTACAAAGTATATGTTTATCAACTCTACATACTGCAAAGCACGCGCGCACACACACACACGCACACACACACACACACACAGTTATATCTCTGTAAAGCTGGAAACTTTTTTTAGTCATACAATTAATATTTTCTTGAAACACACGGTGGGTCATTATATATAAGTTCACATTCTGGCGTCAGTACGTCTGCCTCTTTATAGTGTTGGCTTTCAGTGGTCAGTGTAGTGAGTTCAATTTGTAGTAGAGCCTCACCTCCACCCCCACCCCCAGCCGCTCTGGCTTCAGAGGTCTTCCTGGGTATGACCAAGCATGTGGTCCTGGTCCCTTTGCAATCTGTTCTCTGGTCCTCAGTGCCAACAGCAGCTGCTCATCACCCGTCCAGCACCTCTGGTCACAGCCATTCTCTGGATGCTTTATCGCTGCTCCAAGGACCCACAGCTGCTGACTCTTTTTCCTGTCTTGACAGTGCAGTTGCTTGGCATTTCCTTAGCAATAGAAGGGGGATGCATAAGCTCGCTTGGAGATGCTTTATAAGGAAAGCCCTGAGTTGCCAGGTACTGACTGAAATCGCACGTCCTGGGGAACAGCGTATGGAGCCGTTCAATGGTACTCTCTAATCTGAGTGGTTTCATGCCTCCTGGACTGAAGTCTATCATTTGCTCTCCATTTTAAAACCCTGCTTTGTAAAAAGTCACTGGCAGTGATTTTAGGACTAAAATGAGCCTCTTCCCAAACTCCCGGCAGATGCGGAAAGCGTCGAGAGCCTTCCAGAATGTAGACTGCACCTCCAGACTGCCTGTGCTGAACTCGGGGGACACTTTTCTCCTGATCTGGTTCTTTGGTTAGTTTTGTTTTTCCCCTGCTTTTCCATATTACATATGCTTACCGTGTGTGCAATTCACTAAAGAGACTGCAAAGAGCTTCAAGGTAGGGCACCAGCCCTGGCCCTGAGAGTGGCGAGGAGGGGAGGCTTGCCTGGGGGACAGGGAGCATTCTTCAGCTTCAGATTCCAGAGCTGAGATCGGGGTTCGCCTCACAAGAAGATCCAACCCAGCAGAGGAAAGCACATTGATGCTCAAATAGACTAACAGCAGACCCCCTTTTTAAAGTCCAACACAAGCTTGAAACTCCGATGTTCGGACAGACAAACACAACCTTGCCAGGTCTGTGTCTACGGCACTTTCTCCGCCTTGTCTGTTTTGAACCCGCAAACTCAACACTTCAGCTGTTGAACTGCTGTGATTAGGAGAGTTTGACACCCTATGAAGGAAGTTCTCAGTTTATTTTCTTCTTTTTTCTTTTCTTTTTTTACAGGGCAGTTTGGGCAGGCTCCCTCAGTGTCTGCATGTCTGGGCGTTAGAGCTGGTATTCAAACCCACATCCCACAGGCATGGGGACAGACGCTTCCTATGTTAGCTTTGCATGTTGGGTAAAACCCAACTCTTTTGTGAATGCTGCCCTGTCTTTCTATACCTGGAGGGTTTTTTTTGAACTTAGAGCTTCCCAGAATGGGCACATACTGTGGTCCATGGGATGCTGGTGAAATTCTGCATCAGACACTTGTGCTGTGGTCCATGGGTGCTGATGCTCGGGAAATTCTGCATCAGTCACTTCTGGAATGCGTAGAATGCAGCCGTCCATTTTTAGGAACAAGGAGGGGACCCGGCAGCCAGCTCAGTGTAGCCAGCCAAAGGTGACCTCACTGGATGGCGCATGGAGAGTGACAGCTTTGCCAGCCTTATTTAGCAGCCGAGCCTCAAAGAGCTTTATGGAAAGATGACCCCCTGCCTGGTGTGAGCGTTCATGGATTCCCTATACCGTGTGAAAGCATGTTTCAGTGTCTGCTGATTCTGAAGTTTTCTTTATCTTCCCTCCTAACCTTACTGCTCTAAATAAAAGTAAAATTTCCAATCAAGTCCCACCCTTTTGGATAAAGAGAATAGGATTATAGGACTAGGGAGATAGCTCGGTCAATAAAGTAGCTGTTCGAAAGCTTGGGAGCTTGAGCTGAAACCCAGAATTCAGACACAAAAGCTTTGAGGCGTGGGTGTTCAGAGTCCCAGCACTGGGGGCTGGAAACAGGAGCAGGGTACTCAGGGCACCCGGCAGGCCAGCCTAGCCCACTGGGTGAGCTTCAGGATAGTGTGAGACTATCTCAAAAACCGTGGTGGACAGACCGTGAGGAAAGCAAACAAGGGGATCTCTGGCTTCTTCTCTCTCTCTCTCTCTCTCTCTCTCTCTCTCATACACACACACACAGTGGGACTGTTTTTAAAGTTAAAAACAGTGCAAAGGGGGCCATTTATAGCATTGGCCACACTTCCAGAGGAACCAGGTTCAGTTCCAGCAGCCACGGGGCCACTCACAACTGTCTATAACTCGAGTTCCAGCAGCCACGGGGCCACTCACAACTGTCTATAACTCCAGTTCCAGCAGCCCTGTTCCCTCTTCTGGCATCTGTGGGCTCCAGGCACATGTGTTGCATATCATACCCATAAAATAAAAATGAATAAATGGGGCAAAACCCTGAATTCCCAGAATCTAGACAGTAGTCAGAACAATGTCCGTTACATAAGGACGTTTAAAAGGCAGAGAAGCTCACTTTGCTGATAAAGCTGGAGCAGGGTGTGAAAAGTTGTCCTGTTCTGTTCTCTGTGATGGACCTTGACTTCTACATTTTTGTTTCATATGTATGGCTTTTGCTATACTTAAGGTCTGTGTGCCACAGGCATGTAGTACCCTCTGAGGCCAGAAGAGGGCATCAGATACCTTGGAACTGGAGTTACAGAGAGTGATGAACCACCACGTGGGTGCTGGAAATAGCAACTGTGTCCGTTGCTCTTTAATGTCTGAACCATCTCTCCGGCTCCATGTGCCTTGAGTTCTTAAGGGTAGATACAGTCATGCTGTTTGATTTACAGGGGGACCGTAAGATCCAGTACAGAATTTTGTAGGTAAACACTGCATCCGATCAGCCTGACAGCATAGCCTGCCCCATAACATGCTTAGAACATTTAATGTTAGCTTACAGGTAGGCAGTTGCCATCTGACTCAATCTGCTTTGTATGTAATTTATCAAATACAGCTGGAAGGAGAAATAGAATGATGTTGCAATGTTTTTTACAACAGCATGAAGTATTAAAAAAAACGTCGTCTGTGGGTGACTGCTTGTAATTTGCAATAGCTATAATTGATAAAATTAGAATGTCCTGATTATATGTTATATTTTAGAATTTTGGTCATTGGATTTATAATATTTTGAAATCTGAAAGAAAAGATTCAGGACCAAATGTGTCAGGTCCAGTGATTTAATGTATTGTCCCCTTCGTATGAAGCAGGAGACTTAGTCTCCATCTGGCTAGAGAATTGGCATTTATTGTTGACAATTGCCTGACAATTTTCCTCTTTAAATGTGGCATGATTCTTCTAGCTCTGAGCGGCTGAAAACTGACCCAGAAGTTGAAGTGAAGGCCCCATTGCCAGGTCCCGAGAGAAGCAGAAAGACCTCCACTCTTCACTCAAGCAAAGAAAAGCTGAGGAGGTGAACGTCGACCCAGCCTTTGGTTTCCTGGTTGTTCCTTCACACAGAGAAATCACTTCCACAAGTTTCATAGCTTTAACATTGCTAAAATTAGTCTAGATGAAACTAGTAAATGTGGCCACTAAATGTATCATCCTTTCGGCCATTTGGTCGCCCGAGTGACCAGGTAGCGGAGTAGGGGCATTGTCGACGCCGTATGGTTGGGGGACAGTGACGATTCTGAGTGGGGGAATATACACATTCGTTTGTGGTTCTCCTGCTTCTTGTGCATTCACACGCTTTCTTAATGCACACTGGGAACAATACATAATGGTGGTTTTCATTATGGAAGTGACATATATCTAGCTAAAGTGTAGGAAAGGGAAACTTCTGTCAGCAGTTGAGTCATCTGTGGATAACGATGGCTTAATATCTTCGCTTTCAGCCCTTTTTGAATTTCATTCTTGGTTTATTTAATGACTGGGAATACATCTTACTCTCTGCCTTGAATACTACTTTTCCTCATTAAGATTAATAGGATCATTCCCACTGCACGTGAAGTTCTGAAGATGTAATCAACTATGGTTTGCCTAAGGAGTTTAACGTGTTTAGGCAGCTTTTCATATTTTACTGAGAGACTGCTTTGCACATGGAAACTTTGCTGTGTGTTTTATCTTCAGCTCTTTTGTGTGTTAAAAGTTCTCTGAAAAGCCTTCCAGTAATAGTGTCCAGTTGTTGACTCCCCAATGATTCCCCCCTAGGATAGTTCCAAGACATCTCTGCCAAAGCCCAGAGCTCCGGGAGCCCTATAAAAATCCACTTGCCAACATATGTCCACTCTGACTAATATATGTCAAACAAGATTTTTTTTTGGTTTAATTTTTCTTTTCTGAAAGGTGGGGACTTGCCTCAAGTCCCAGCTGTTGACCTGCACAAGTCAAGGTCGTAACTTTAGGAATAATGAATGCCAAGGGCTTGGGTTAATTCAGTTGGATCTACGTTTCCCATGTATCTCTCTTTCGGATCCTAGCTTGGGCACTGTCCTTTGCATTTTAGTTCGTCTGTGTAGGAAATGCATCTTCTTGTTTCCCTCCATCTCAGGCCACTGCATGTGTAAAACACACATGTCACAAGGCCCAACCTCTTATTAAAAGCATGGTCCAAACCCAGATTCAGACTCCTGTTGGCCTGCCAGTCTTCTAGTGTGAGCTGGAAAAGGATGTCTGTGTAGTGTGAGACTCTTTCCCAAGGGCAGGCTGCTGCAGATCTTCAGGGGCTGTGAGCGGTGTGCCCTGCACTGTCTGGACACCCGGCGCCACGGCCGCGGGCCTGGTGAGGGGCTGGGGCTGCCCTGGCCCAGCTCTGTAGCTTGTCAGCTGATTGCCTTGTACTGCCTTCGAGCGGGGACCCTGGAGGCTGGCATCTCAGGAGCTGGGGGGACTGCTGGCCTGTGGGGGCGTGGTCTGCCTCTGAAACAGAAACCAGATGAAGATGGGGACTGTCCATTTTCACACACACACACACACACACACACACACACACACACACACACACACGCACACGCGCACACACACACACCCAGGAAGAAAAATCGTTCATCCTTATGACCAAGGAGGCTAATGCTTCCCTGTTGCCTCGCAATCCTTTGAACAGGGAGCGCATCAAGTTTTGCTGCGAGCAGCTCCGCACTCTCTTGCCGTACGTCAAGGGGAGGAAGAGCGATGTGGCTTCAGTTATCGAGGCGACGGTTGATTATGTGAAGTACGTCCGGGACAATATGTCTCCAGCCGTCATGGCCCAGGTATTTGGTTTCTAAAGTCCTGTTTGGCACTGCTTCCATGCACCAGTTTTTGTTTTTATGTTTTGTAGCTGCAAATACATGTGTTCCTAAGTCTGTTTTTACATGTGCACTTTCGTACTCCTTTAGATTACAGAAACCCTCCAGAGCAATAAAAGGTTCTCTAAGAAGCAGATGCCCATTGAGCTGTTCCTGCCACGTGCAGCCACGGCACAGAGGTATGGCCAGGACCGTGTGGATTCGTGTGTGTGTGTGTGTGTGTGTGTGTGTGTGTGCATGCATGTGCACTTCCTTCTTGGTTCATGCTGGGAATGGACAGGAACTGAAACCATACACAGTGAGAGCCCAGGTTAAGGATCTGGGAATGTCTCCCATTGCACATACTAATCATTTCATTACTGCAATAAACGCATAGAATATTCCCCGGGCTGTGGTCCTTGTTACCCCTGAGAACCTTAAGATAGAGCTTTGAGACTCTGCTTGCCCAGCAGGGGCCGGATGGAGTCTATAATTCTCTGGCAGAGGTTGAGGGCTGTGGAGCATGTAAAACCAGTCAGTAAGCAGTCCTTAAGCTCACTGACACACAGTGTGATATGCCAAGTGATGATTTCCTTACTCAAACTTAGGAGTCTGTGCAAGCAAAGAGAAACCAAAGAAGACCTTAGAAGAATCGCTGAATGTCCTGAGTACCTCTTTGTTCTATTTAAGTGGTCTATAGCTGAGGCTCTGTCAGGGTTCTTCAGATCTTGACTAATAGAAGAGCCTTTGACGAGCTGGGGTGTTGGCGTAGTGGTTGAGAACACTGGCCTCTTGCAAAGGCCATGGGTTCAGTTCCTAACACTCATATGGCCGCTCACCGCTGTGACTCCAGTTTCACAGGATCTGATGTCCTCTCTGGGCCTCTGCAGGAGCTGAGTATATGTGGTGCACACACACATGCAGGAAAACATTCATACGTACAAACAGATACATTTTTTAAAATGCAGTTTAGAAGAGCCTTTGAACTCAGCACGGTTCTTGCTGTTTTCCTGAGAGGAGCACAGAGTGAATCCTTCTTGTCTCTCCAGGAAAGATGGTGTGCTGGCAAGCGCGTACTCATCCGTGCGGGAGATCCTGGCTGATCAGTGCTTGAATGTGTGCTCCATGCCTGCTGCAGGAGGAGGACCCTTGGAGGAATCTGGAAGAGGTGAGCTAGGCCTAACCTGTGTATCTCACAGAGCATGTGGGTCTAAATGGGGGTTCCGCCGCTCCCAGGTCCCCCGAGTCTCCATTCCTGTCCTGCCATAGCCAGGTGGGCCTGAGGCATCACACAGTGAGCCCTGGCTTCATCCTCAAGTGTTCAAATCGAGTTCTGTTAGTCCCTTTCGTGTCCCTGCGGCAGAATTCCCGACAGAACAACCCCAGGAGGGGAATGTTTAACTGCCCGCTCTAGAGGATGCAGTCTCTGATGGCAAAGGCAGGCATGGAAGCATTCACACCATAGGACGTCACAAAGCAGGGGTCAGGAATCAGAACAGGACGAAAGGGGGGGGGAGGGGCTCCAGCACCTGCCAGCTGCAGTCCAGCTTCTAAAGCTTTGCCAGCCCACAGAACAGTGCCACCAGCTGGGGTAACACGCCTTCAAAATGAGATTCAACCACAGGGGTTGTCTCAGGGGCAGAAGCATGGCTGCTCTTGCAGAGGACCTGGGTTCAGTTCCCAGCACCCACACGGCAGCTCACAACTGTCTGTACCTTCAGTTACAGGGGATCCGCTGCCCCTTCTGGGCTCTGCAGGTACTGCATGCGTATAGGTGCATAAATGTGCGCACACACTCATACACATGACACAAAAAATAGAAGAACTGCCTCAGAATTGATCACAGTTGACAGGATGTGTACCTTGCAGGCGGATGATAGGCATATTAATAAATTTATTTTTTATAGACGTGGAATCTAAAATGAAGCATAATTTTCTCTTAGTACCCACAGAGGATTAGTTCCAAGTCCCTCTGCTGACACCAGCTCTTCAGTCTCAACTCCCTTCTATAAAATGGGATATCATTTGCATATAACCCAGGCACATCCTCCTGTTTACTTTAAATCTTTTGTGGGTTGGATGACACCCGATACAATGTAAATTTACCCAAATAGTTGTTACATTATGTTGTTTAAAGAACAAAGTCTGTTTCCATGTTTTCTATAAACTTGGTGTTGCTGATTTTTTTTAAAAATATTTTTCATCCATGGTTGAAATTCCAGCCCAAGGATATAGAGGACTGACGGAGCTCATACTAATTCAGTGCTGGCTTTGTGCTGAGCATTTAGAATGATAATTTATTTACTTCTTTCAGGTCTTTGTTTAAAGGTCACCTACTCTGAGTCCTCAACTGCGTAGTTGAAGCTACCATTTCCTGCCTGCTACATACACTACAGGACACCATTAACCCACTGTCTCTGTTGGATTTGTCTTCTTAGTACTCATCACCTGCTAATGTCATTTACTCCCATGCCTTGTTTATTGGCTGTCTGCTCCTATTACAGTGCCAGCCCCATGAAGGTGGAGAGTGTCCCCTCCTGTTTTATCCAGTGCTGCATTTTAGTATCTAGAGCAGCGGCGGTCACGAAATGCGCAGAGCACAAATACCATTTGGACATACACAGCCTTCCTTTCAGAGGCATTTCTGTTACATTTTTGGGCAGTCCTAGCCCTTCCCACATAGCTATGGAAATAAGGACGGGAGGGGCGGAGCCAAAGCAGAAGAGGACGAGTGTGTGGCTTTTGGTGTTCCGGGAGGCTGCTCTTCCCAGAGATGCCTGTCCACTCTGAGTGACTGCTGCTGAGTGACAGGGATGCCCCTCTCCTAATCCAGTCTTTCACTTCCTCTAAGGAACTATGCTGTCACAGCATCCCGCCGTGCTGGGAGCATCCTTGGCCATCCCTCTCCCCACTAATGGCAAGCCTGTGCCCTGGTGCTCTGCTTCCTCTAAGGAACTATGCTGTCACAGCATCCCGCCGTGCTGGGAGCATCCTTGACCATCCCTCTCCCCACTAATGGCAAGCCTGTGCCCTGGTGCTCTGCTTCCTCTAAGGAACTATGCTGTCACAGCATCCCGCCGTGCTGGGAGCATCCTTGACCATCCCTCTCCCCACTAATGGCAAGCCTGTGCCCTGGTGCTCTGCTTCCTCTAAGGAACTATGCTGTCACAGCATCCCGCCGTGCTGGGAGCATCCTTGACCACCCCTCTCCCCACTAATGGCAAGCCTGTGCCCTGGTGCTCTGCTTCCTCTAAGGAACTATGCTGTCACAGCATCCCGCCGTGCTGGGAGCATCCTTGGCCATCCCTCTCCCCACTAATGGCAAGCCTGTGCCCTGGTGCTCTGCTTCCTCTAAGGAACTATGCTGTCACAGCATCCCGCCGTGCTGGGAGCATCCTTGGCCATCCCTCTCCCCACTAATGGCAAGCCTGTGCCCTGGTGCTCTGCTTCCTCTAAGGAACTATGCTGTCACAGCATCCCGCCGTGCTGGGAGCATCCTTGACCGTCCCTCTCCCCACTAATGGCAAGCCTGTGCCCTGGTGCTCTGCTTCCTCTAAGGAACTATGCTGTCACAGCATCCCGCCGTGCTGGGAGCATCCTTGGCCATCCCTCTCCCCACTAATGGCAAGCCTGTGCCCTGGTGCTCTGCTTCCTCTAAGGAACTATGCTGTCACAGCATCCCGCCGTGCTGGGAGCATCCTTGACCGTCCCTCTCCCCACTAATGGCAAGCCTGTGCCCTGGTGCTCTGCTTCCTCTAAGGAACTATGCTGTCACAGCATCCCGCCGTGCTGGGAGCATCCTTGGCCATCCCTCTCCCCACTAATGGCAAGCCTGTGCCCTGGTGCTCTGCTTCGTGTTCCTGCCTCAGAGATGGGGAGACAGGGACAGACGAGATGCGGGAGTTGTTCATGTGGGTCTTGGACCTCAGTGACAGACAGGATCGCAGAAGCAAACTGGTTCTCCCAGTGCGTTAAGTGCAGGATAGATGTACCACATGCATGCCTAGGGGGTCAGGGGAGCTCTGGGACAAATGTGCTCCTACAGTTGTGTCTAAAGTCATAAGAGAAGGTGGGGGAAATAGAACACAGACTCCCTTAGTCCTGTAGCCGAAGAAACAAATACAAATCACTTCGGTGGTCTGTTTAGGCCTTTCTCTTGACCTGGGGAGAAGGGAGGAGAATAAGGAAAAAAGAAGAAGAAGAAGAAGCCACCCCCAGCCACAGTTAAATTATTCGAAGCGCCTGTGACTCAGTGTAACATGGGATAATTAAACTATGTCAGGGAGGCTGCACCCAATGCCTGTTAAGGATGTATCTTTATATACAACGCTATTCTGTAAAAACAGTGTTGATGGCACAAGTTCATGCTTTTCTGTGCTTGAATATTTTGTGGAATCACATCACCCAAAGAGACCACTCTAGGAAGACAAAACTATACTAGTGCTGTAGACTTACAGGATATGCAAATCCAAAGGGATCTGGAAGGTAAGTGAGTCAGATCCCCCAATTTAGTTACTGCCAATTTGAAAAGTAACTGACCGTATTCATTATGTTTGCCTTATATGTATATCTTTCTCTAGATTGGTCATCCCATTTTTATTTCATAATTTTAAAAAGATTCATATTCTTTATTCTTTATTTATTTTTATTATTTTATGTGCTATTTACCTATGTGTATGAGTGTTTTCCTGCATGTATGTATATGCACCATGAATGTGTGGTACCTATGGAGGCCAGAAAACGGTGTTAGATCCCCTGGAACTGGAATTAGAGGGGGTCATGAGTGTGCTAGGAACCTCCTAACTCAGGTCCTCTACAAGAGTGGGATGTGTTCTTAACCACTGAGCCATTTCTCCAGTCCTAGAGATTATTTTTAAAACACTGTGTGTTTAAGAATCTTTGTCTTCTAGCTACTGTGCAGAACTAAAATATAACTGATGGTCTAGCCCACTTTAGTCATAAGAAAAAAATCAGACAAGCTTCCTTTGTAACTGAGTGTAGTTTGGTTTTGTTTGTCTTGTTTTGTTTTCCTCACATTCTTCCTTGCTTTCTAAGAATGGTGTTAGGGTTTCTATTGCTGTGGTAAAACACCATACCCAAAATCAGCCTGGGGAGGAAAGGATTTATTTCATCTTGCAGCCTATAGTTCATTATCCAGTGAAGTCAAAGCAGGAGCTCAATGCAGGGACTTGCAGACAGGAACTGGAACAGAGGCCATGGAGGAACACTACTTACTGACTTTTCAGCCTGCTTGCTTATAAACTCAGGACTGCCAGTGGGTTGAACCTTCCCACTTCAATCAAGAAAATGCACTATGGACTTGTCAGTCTTTTGGAAGAATTTTCTTTATTGTCTCTCTTCCCAAATGACTCCAGCTTGTGTCACGTTAACATAAAACATATGATCCTGATGGTAGACACACACACATACACACAAACATACACACACGGGCAGACAGATCTGCCTGTCTTCTAAACTCTCTCATGATAAACCAATGTAAACATACAATGGTTATGTTGAGTTCGATGTCGTTACAGGAATGACCACATGCTGTGGTTCAGAGTCACAGAACTGTGCACAGTGTTCACAGACACCTGTTTTCCTTCTTGTTACAGGTCAGCCAAGCTCTGCTTCAGAAAGCCCTGTTGAGGATCTCTATACAACGCGAGTCCCCACGCTCTCTCTTAACTCCTTCCATGCTGTCAGATATTGTTCTGGGCCTGTCCGTCCCCATGAAGCAGCTGCCAGAACAAATCAGAACATTTCTATCTATTTGCCATCTGCTGTGTCCAGTGTCTCCAACCTCCTCTCTCAGCACTGCAATTCTGTGCTTTGCCAAACATGCCCGGCCAATCCCAATTGCCCGGTAAGTGTTCTGGGTCTGTGAGTCAGGCTGCATGCTCCAGCCCGTGAGCTGTACCTTGCTTGCTGTTAATGCTCTGGTCTCAAAGCTCAGAGTCTGTGCCCAGGAGCTGTGTCGGCTTCTAAGTCACTCTGTCTGAGTGACAATAAATGCAGCCGTTAACCCAGGCCCTTATTCTCCGTTCTGCAGGCCTGGCTTCTGGACGTATCACGAATCTGGATGTGGCCTGGCTGGGCTAGCATTAGGTGACCGAGTGGATTCGGGCTTTTGCGGGTCTGGGTGCCCCTCCTTCTCCCTGCTTCCACTCAGATCTCCTCATGTTCATTCTCAGCGGCCCCCACACCTGCCCCCTTGTTTCAGCTGCAGGGTTACTCTCACCATATGAAAACCCAGCCTCCGTTTACTATCAGGCTGAGTTCAGACACCAGGTTTTATACAGCAGTCCCTGGGTACCCTCATGCTCTGATATGTGTTTACCACACCTCAGGGAAGGTAGTATCTACAGACATGAAACTCACAGTCTTGAAGTGTCTCAGGGATAAAGCCAGAGAAGCAGGTAGCTGTGGTATGGGTTGGAGCATGTAGGGAGAGGACATATAGTCAAGTCAGTTACTGCTGGCCTCAGGAGAGGAGTTTACTGTCTAAGCCAAGATCCAGAAGCAAAGAATTAGCCATACGGGGGTCTGGGATCAGAGATGAGCAGGGGAGCATGTGGCTGGTGGATGGATCGACGTAAACCGTGAAGTCTTTGGAGGCCGTAACTAAGTCATATACCCTGCGAACTTCAAAGCCATGGTCTAACAATACCTAATACAACCCTTCTAGAGCAGAAAGTACTGTTACCTCTATGTGACATCTGTGAAACAGGAATAATCATGGCTGTCTTAAGATGTACTTGTGAGAAAGACATCCCACAGGGAATTACAGAGAAAACTTAGAATATGAGTGCCACAGATTTGATATTTCCAGTGATGGTCAGAATAGGAAGGCCAAGACAAATGAAAGCAGATGCCATAGTACTGCTTGACGATTGGTTGATTGATTGATTGATTGATGACTGACTGGTATGAGATCCTGCCTTGTTATCTGCTCTGGTTTTGAACTCTTAGCTTCAAGTGATCGTTCTGCTTAAACCACCCCAAAAATATTGGGAACTACAGGCTCACACTCTAAACCTGATACACTGGGAACTACAGGCTCACACACCTGATTAATTTCTAGCTGTTGATATATACTTACTGTGTATGTTTTTGCTGTGTAATTTTTATAAGAAAATATCTTTGTTTTATTTTGTTTTTAAGGTAGGTGTGTGTGTGTATGTGTGTGCGCCACAGTGTACGTGTGGAAGTCAGAGGACAGCTTTTCTTGTTTCTCACGTCTTCCTTGGTGAGGCAGTCTCTCCTGTCTCTCTGCAGTGTACTCCAGGCCATGAGCTTCCAGCCGGTCCTCGAGCTACCTCATCCAGCATCTTCCGTGGGTCCCAAGATGCAAACTCAGATCATCAGACTTCTCAGCAACTGCTTGGGCCCGCTGAGCCATCTCTCCAGCGTCAAGAAAACAATTACTTTTAAGAAAAGTAAATATTTGGAAACCTGTAGATTTAGTTGCCTGAGACTCCAGTTGGCTTTATGATCTATTTCATGATACAGAAATGCATTTGTGACATTGTTAAGAGTGAGCCAGCCTTCGGTTAAGGTGTGCCTCTCCCTCCTCTGCAGCAACAGTTCGGGGCATGCTAACGCTCCATGCTTGAGGTTCATGTTCTAGACCACATGCTGGGCACAGTTGCTCAGTTCAGGAAGAAGGGACAAAGAAAGATTTTTGAAAGCTGCCGGCCCTGGCTTTTGATGAATGTGCTAGAATCTTCCAAGATACGTAGAAAGACAGTGGATGGCAGTGATAGCCTTGTGTTCCCAGGCATCTTCATCCATGCAAGCAGCAGCAGCCCGAGAGACCCACGGACATTCATTCTACCAAAAACCATTGTTCGCTTTGTGACGATCATGCTACGAGGAAGACCCATGTGGGTGTAAATAGCCAGGCCTAGGAAGGCATGTCGATTCTCCCAGGCCACCAAGCACAGATCCTGCAGCCTGCTTGCTTCTGTCACTGACTTCTAGTTGACATCTTTTCTAGATTTGGCATTTTAGAGAGACGTCTTCTTCATTCGCCACCCAAACTAAAATATCCGGGGGGCTATGGAGTGGTGCCTGCCTTTCCAGTGGGTGACTGGCTGCATTAATGCGCTTTTGGCTGCATTTTGCGACCCTATCAGTGGTATGAGAGCTAGGAGAGGCGTTTATCTTGCTGGATCTTTATTTACAGACCCACAGATTTCCGCTTTGTCCTTTCTCCCTACGCGGTGTTAGAGCAACTGTCGTAAACGGGGAGGTGTGGTTGTTTTATACTTCATCAAAATGTTCTTACACAGAAGTTTTACTGTAAAAGTGTTAAGATTTACCCTGTAATCCATTGTTTTGTTTAATAAAATGTTTTCTTTTTAATAACAGTATGAAAGTAATTTGGTTTTATTAGATTTTTGAGATGCATAATAATTACTTCAGCTTTTGTTTTTCTTGTTCTAAGTTCTTTGAAGATGCCAAAATGACAAACTGTGGATATGGAATGTGCTTGTGAGGGAAGTAGGAGTTTCCAACTCAGGGCCTGTGCTTTTCACGTGGTGATGACTGTTTGTAGTCTCGGCTGCAGTTGCTTTGGCCTTGAAAGAGAGATGTTTCAGGTTCTGTGGGCTTTGTCATGTCCCCGGATGGCCTCCCTTACTGCTGGAAGTGCTGCTTAGATGGGCTTTCTCCAGAGAGGCTGTGGCCAGGAATCCTAGGAGAAAAGACATTCTGAGCATGAATCCGGGAACCATTTATCTGCTTAAGGTCCCTCGGTCCCCATTTCCCTTTCAGTGTGAGCAGAGAGCCTGCCTGGTCCATACTTTAAAGCTTTTTTTAGTTAAAGGCTGGTGTTGCTAAAATCCCTTCCCTTGGGGCAGACATAAACAACATCTACTCCTTCCAAGTCTCCAGCCACAAATGGAGGCTTGATTCCCCCAGGGTTCACTCTGAAGAACCAATGAGTTGATTAGGCTCCCTGACAAAGCATCAGCGCGAGGGTTTACTCCAAGGTGTCAGTGTCCCTCCAGCAAAGGCTACACCTAGAAAGTGTACACAGCAGAGACGATGGCGGTCCTCAGCCACAGAGGTGGAGTCCCCTTCCTCTGGCCTTCCTCAGCCTTTAGACTCTAGCCCCTCCCTGAAGCCATGTGCAGTTAAGGCAGTGTTGGGTTCCCAGGATGGCAGTTGCCATTGGAGGACAGTCACACATGCAGCTGGTTCCGGAGTCCTGAACTTCACGGAAGTGTCAAAAGCCTCGGTGAGAACTTCATTTCCCATAAATGATGTTCTTCCAAATAAGCTCTCCTCCCAACCAAAGACTTAGCAGGCCTCAGCCCAAAGAAGGGTTCTGTTTTTTTCTTTTCATTTTGAGCACGGTTGCATGTTATGGTGCATATATGTGAGCGTGCAGACACGTATGCCTATGTACACACATGCAGAGGCCAGACAGGCTTTTCTGTTGCTTTCTGCCTTATTGCCTTGAGCCAGGGCCTTCCACGGAACCCATAGCTCACCGTTTCATCTAGACTGGTTGGCAAGCAAGCTCTCAGTTCATTTGTATCCACTCCTGTAAGCTTGCGATACAGGCACACAGTCATGTGCAGCTTTTAACCTAGGTACTGGGGATTTGAACTCAGGTCCTCACACTTGCAAGGTAAGCACTCTTACCCACCGTCTCATCTCTCCGGCCCCAGGATTTCCTTTAAGAAAGTCCAATTGGCAGGTCATGAGACAGTATAATATGAACCCTGAACTAGGAGATTGCCTAGAGTGATGGCGCCTGTGTTCCCGTTAGTGGTAGAATTGGCAAGACTTGATAGGGAGTTTGAGGAAGGGAAAAGGATGGAGGCAGACACCCACGTCTCCGTCTTCAGTGGCTGGCGATGAAGTTCATTGAGAAAGAAGGAAAGCATCCCTTGGCAGAATGGCATGAAGGAGCAACAGCTCTAGTTAGTGTCTGTGGTGTTGCAGGCTAGCCTTACGGAGGCCGCCTAACTGCACCCAGACACAGTCAGTACAGACAGGACCCTGAATGGCAGATGATGTCATCCCTTTTCTGATACAACACAATTCATCCCAAGGAGCCACTTGGTCAGGCTTCTCATGGTGCTCTATGCTGGCAGCTTCCAGAGATCTCATGTAGACGGAGCAAAACCTCCGAAGACAGGGCACAAGGAGGCAGAGGCTGCTGTGCAAACGCTTGCTGACTGTTGGAGTCGTGGGAAACTAGAAACTAGCTTCTAAAAAACGCAACGCTTTGACAATGCCAGGTCTCTGTCTTCTATGCAAAATAGCAACGAACGACCTTTGAAGGGATTCACTTCCCTCTGGTCATTCTCCCGCCCAGTCTGCCTGATAGCCTGGTCCATCAAGGATTCCAGTTTGACTCCTAAAAGATCGGTTGCTCTCCTGTATGAGTAATTGCTTACCTTAGGAATGGGAGGGCACCTGATCAATTTCCAGGCCATACCCCTAGCGTGAGATGTGGAAGACTTAGCTAGGCTGGGACCTAGGACTCTGCCCGACAATGAACAGATGTGTTAGCAGATACCCGATTACCCTACCTCAACACACCCTATCCACTAGCTGAATGCAGATACCTGTGGGGCACACTGAACAAAGGATGGACAGACACACCATCAGCCTTCACTGACGCCCAAACCTGGCAGCATTTATAGATTTACTCAAAAACAACCTGGCTCCGTACATCCAGGACAGAGCCCAGCACTCCATAGGGCAATTCTGACACACAAGTTTGGGTGCTGACGTAACCTGTACAATAACATGTTCATTGAAGGGTGTGGAGGGCGGAAGTCAGGAGGTGAAGGGCACAGCGTATCCCGATGGCATGGATGCTGGGTGGAGAAAGCTGCTTTTGGATTTTTACTAAAGGTATTGTCTAAAGTAGACTGCCTCCACACCAGGCAGCCTTGGCAGACTGACAGCAAGCCCCCAGCCTCTTGGCAGTTTCCTGTCGAGCTCTCAGGAGTACCGCTGGTCTCTGGCTCTCCCTCCCCAGTCTGTGGGCTCTCTGGTATGTGGAATGAGGAAGTGAAGTGGGAAACCCAGGGTCACCTTGGTTAATCTGGCATCAAGGGCTGGTTTCATCACCATGGAAACACGACACCCCTGTGCAAGACTGAGAAACCCTTCACCTACTTTTCAAGGTTGGTTTTACAATCCAGGATAATCATCTTTGTGAAAACAAAATAACTGGAGAACACAGGCAGCTGGGATTGGTTAAACAACAGGGTCTTGTACCTGCTGAGTCTTTCTCGGGCCCCTATAAGGCTTTTTTTTTTCTCCACACATGGTTACAAGGAAGTCCGGTTATATAGTGGGTGTACTGCGTGCTAAGTAAGACTCCAGAGAAGTGGGTTTCTAGAAGGTTCAGGCCAACTTGTTTTGAAAAGTGGTCTTGGAAAACAACTATTTCTTGATAGTTTAATTCTTCCCCAGATAGACATAAGGATTCGTTTCATGAGGGAGAAGTGATGATAGCATTTTTATAAAACATTAAATTCTTATTCCTTTCAGCCTGCCTTAAACTGTTCCCATTTCCCTCAAAATAATAGCTCATTAAAAAAAAACTAGGCTTTGTCTTGCTGACTGTGTCCTTTGCCTTACAGAAGCTTCTCAGTATCAGGAGGTCCCATTTACTAATTTTTGACCTCAGTGTCTGTGCTACTGGTGTTATGTTCAGGAAGTAGTCTCCTGTACCAATTCGTTCAAGGGTACCACCCACTTTCTCTTCTAACAGGTTCAGTGTGGCTGGATTTATCTTGAGGTCTTTGATCCATTTGGACTTAAGTTTTGTGCATGGCGATAGACATGGATCTATCCGCATTCTTCTACATGCCAGCATCCAGTTATGCCAGCACCATTTGTTGAAGATGCTTTCTTTTTTCTATTGTATAATTTTAGCTTCTTTGTCAAAAATCAGATGTTCATACATGTATGGGTTAATATCAGGGTGTTCAATTCGATTCCATTGGTCTACCTGTCTATTTTTGTGCCAGTTCCAAGCTGTTTTCAGGACTACAGCTCTATAATAGAGCTTGAAGTCAGGGATGGCGATTCCTCCAGATGTTGCTTTGTTGAATAAGGTTTTTTTGGCTATCATGGGTCTTTTGTTTTTCCACACAAAGTTGATTATTGTTCTAGTGGAGATTGGGTGGGGGACTGGGGGACCTGGTGGGGAGGGAGGGGGAAGAGGGAAGGGAGAGGGAGCTGGGATTGACATGTGAGACAAGATTGTTTCTAACCTAAATAAAAAAATAATTTAAAAAAACTAGGCTTTGGACTTAGGCAAAACTATGATTAAAAAGAAACCTATAAGAGGTTTTAACAAAGCAAGTGTCACAAAGATCATTTGTCTCTCAGACTGGTTTGAATAGAAAGCTCTGAAAAGTAAAATTCCACGTGTGCACTGGGGTCTGTACTAGAGCACTGATCTCTCTCCTGCTCTCTCTCTTCTGAGCCGCACCAACACTCATGCAGGCAATAGTAAGGGACGGGAAGCCCACTGGGTTTAAACTCTGGAGGCTTACTTTGTTTACTATATTAGACAATGTCAACATGGCATACTGATTTTATCTCTTAGTGGAGATTGAACTGTCATGTGGCATTTAACTTCTGAATACTGACCCTTTTTGGCAATAAGACTAATGTTTAATATTCTATACAACATTCTATAAGCAAGGGAAGGGAGGCCCAGCAAAAGAAGTCACACAGATCATAAACAAAGATTCATTTTTTTATGGATTTGATAGTCAAGGGCACTACACACAAGAGCTGTTTTTATGTTGTTTAAGATCAGACCGCGTACAGCACGAGTTCAAATCGACTTGACACTTTTGCTCTTTAGTTTTTCTCTACACTACAACGATCAATATGAAATGGTTTCCCCGCAGGTTCAGTCTAGCTTACGTGCTCAAGAAACGGCATCTTAGATGCGTGGCCATGGTTCCAAACATGGTAGCTGGAGTACACGGGTCTGTGCCACAGTAAATGCTTTGCTGCTTTGGAGTCTCGTTTGAGCTGGCAGAGGCGCAAAGGTTTTCCTGGGGACCTGGCAATGAAGCAGCTGCCCTGGCTGTTGCGGGGTTGATCACCTTCATGTCACGTCTCTGAGGCTGCGCTGTCCAGACTGCATCCTTCAGGTCGGAGAGAGTAGCCGGAAAAGTAGCTCAGGTTATATTTCAGTAAAATCATGAAACACTTCACATTTTCTCTAAATACTTTTAAAAGCCGTTTTATGTGTGTGAGTGACCTGCCTGCATGTGTGTATGCCTGCATAGGCCCAGAAGAGGGCGCCGGATGTCCTGGGGCTGCAGTTACAGATGGTTGTGAACTGTCACATGGGTGCTGGGAATTGGGTCTGGGT